ACAATATATTCTGCACGAGTATTGTGTCTTCTTTCGTCTTCAGGTAAGTCTCGAAAAGCTACGCCTGCACGCAACATCAGTTAAAATATCCTGCGTCAGATGAAAATGATAAAAATAAAGAATAGTTGACTGTACGCGTATTGACGGCGTGGAAGTGAAAAACGTTAGGTGATTGCAGCTCCAAAATGTCACTTTAAAATTTTTACGCGAAAATTACTTACAACGCGCCAATTTTTCATTGCTAAAAATTTTTTGCGACAAAGTTTAACAAACTACTTCAAAAGGATAGATTAGTGGATCAAATCCTCGACTAGCCAAGATAAATTAGACGAGTAATACGCGTTGCACAAATAATGCTATGAATATAAATTGTGGTAAAAAGAATTCAATTAGATTTAAAACGTTTGAAAGTGTTAAATTTTTGAAAAAGCCTGGTAAGTTTTCGTGTAATAGGCGAAATGGGTGTTACGAAAATAGAAGTGGCGGTGGATTAGAAGTTGTTGGTATAGGGGCCAAGTTTATCGATCAGAATATGGGATATATTGTATCTCCGCTATGAGAGGGTATGGTCGCCTTTAGTTGTTAACTTGGTAAAGCTGGTGAGATTAGGTATCCCCATCTTTTTTGTAAACTTTTTTGACATATTTGCTATTTGGCTGGACAATTTAACGTTAGCTTGGGATCAGCATCTTTTGGTGCCACATGGTTTGATGGTAGTCGGTAGTCACTCTACATGGTAATGTAAAGGTTCCTCTTACCTCTTGTAGTTTCTAGTTTTTACCTTGGACGTGTTTTTGCTGTATGGTTTGTCTTGTGCTTTAAGATGTAATTATTTGGCTACAAATTTATGGATAGTCGTGGCCATCAGCTCTTATGCATGCATATTGTGTTTGGTGTTGCCATGTTGTAACTGAATTCAATGTACGGCAGACTATTCAACTAGACTAGCTTCTCTACTAATTCTTTTTCGGATTTTGGGCTTCACCAACTACTTCTTAACGAAAATATAGGAATCTGCCCGTACTTTAGTGCATCTATTAGTTCCTATATATGTTCTCATATGAGCCTTTTGAACGCGTTTTGTAGAGAAGATGCTTGGGGATATAGGGAGAATTCCGATTCTGTCACTGAGTGGTTGCAAGAGTCTTTCGGACATTCTGTCAGACCTACCCTTACCTCAACCTCTTCCCAAATCCGTCATTGGTATCGATCTTATCGATGACCCCAAGTTGTACCATGAAGCACAAGTCTACATGCAATCACGTGATGAATACCTGGTGGATTCAATTTCATCCGCACTGTCCACCACGTCCACGGACGGAATGTAGGATCCTGTCTTACTGACTCACCTTATATTTAGAATCTTCAAAACTGATTCAAAACCCGCTCTTATTGATTTCCATACTCTTCCAGTGCTACTAAAAGAGGCCATTTCAAAAAGACCTAATATTCTAGAGGCGAACCGAAGCTTTGAATGTATATACTCTTGCAAGGAGGTGCTACGAATTCTTTCAGGTGAAGGTAATCACAAACACCAGGCTTATGCGTCACTCTTAGCGGAGAAATGTACGCCCAAAATGACCTCTCCCATGAAGTCTGGTTTTCCATCAGCAACTCGGCATCAAACTTTGGGGTCTCCTGTCGCTCCCGTCAAGCTGACACTGAAACAATCACAAACACCTGGTAGCGGAAGTATCTACAGTGTAACATCAGTGGAGCCGCTTAAGCTGTCAATTAAGCGAGCCCCCGCAACTTCAACTCCTGTCACCGTTACTCAAGGCGGTCCGAAAAAACTGCGTGTAAAACGCCGCTCGAAAGCCTCTACCACCTCTGCAAATCAAAAATGGGTAAAATTTACCACTCCCACTTGCTAAGCGTGCGAACACGTGATTATGCTAGTCTTCTTTTCTCGCCTTGTCTATTGCCTTTGCTAAATGAGGAACTCAAAAGTCATTCCTTTTAGTCCTAAGTGCAATCCTTGTTACTCAATGTAATAGGTGTTCCACGCATACATGTGCTACACTTGATGTCACGAGTTTAACTTAAATGCTTCGAATGCAGAACATCAGCCAATTGGTTACGTTTGGCGCTAATTCTCCATGGCAGCAAAGTACTTATATTGCAACCCCTATCAAAACTTGTATACCACCTCTCTTCGTTCCAATTTATCTGCTCCTTGTTGTTGAGTGTTTTTTAACCGGGATTCTAGACTATAATTTTCAGCCTGACTTTACTTTCACCAGCTATGTGCGGATTAATTTGGGAATCAAAATAACATACTTTAGTATTCACAGTCTATTTCTTGTCCATTACTATTTAGCCGATGCAGTTAGTTGAGTCGGGATCAGCTCCGGTCGTGCCTACTCAATCACAAATCGTTCATTCTCACTCTGTACAGTCAACGCTTCTTCCTGCCCCAAATCCATCCCCCAGTTTACAATTAGTCATTAGTGCTCCATCCTCCACCCTGCCCCCGCCCCCTCCCAAAGATCCCCCTGCGCGAAATAGCGGTCAAATGTTGAGCACAGTGTTCAACCAACTCCTCCAATCCGACCCCGAGAGCACAATTGCTTCACTGTTGAGCAGCAGCGATGGGCAATCCACGGGAAATCCAGCCTCCGTGGAACCCCATCATCCCCGATCTCCACCCCTCTCTGTCCCCTCCAACTGCTCCTATCCCGCTACCCCAGGCATGAACAGCAGCCTCTCACTGAACAACAACAGCAGCACTAGCAACGTAGCTCCTGCTGCCGTTACTTCCACCACTAATCCTTCTCCTATCAACGCTATCTTCGACACTCCCGATGTGAGTGATGGAAGAGAGACCAATCCCACGCCCGCTCCTCCTCCGCCTCCTCCACCTCGGGGGCTGGCGGCTTACCTTCAGAAATCCCGCAATCCTGAGATGGCTGCTTCGCCTTCGGAAGATGTCGTGGACGCCTACGCCCGCCAACACGGGTCCGTGCCTCCCATGTCCTCTTCATCTTCTTCCCCATGGACTGAGCGACGCTGCGGACCACAGGCCACTTCCAATGCCAATATCGGTGCTGCTGTCTATCCTACATCTTCCTCCCTCACTAGCACCCCTAATGGACAGGAGGGTGGCAAAGAGAAGCGTGGTATGTTTTCCAAGACCATTTTTGAGTATTGTGTGTTCTAATCTCATTCCTCCCTCCTATACTACCCGAGCAGGGCGTCGACGGCGAAGCGAGCTAGAAGAGCTGATCAACTGGCAGGTCCGAGATCAAGCAACACCTCTCAAGAGGCATGCTTTCCAGTCCCAACAAATTCCACCCATAATAGAGAATAGCCCGCCTCCTCCTCGCGCCCCAAGTGACAACGAGGGTGTCGCATTTTTTACAGAACCTCTGGGGGAGCGTGTCAAACGCAGGAGGCAGCAGCACACGACACCACTCTGTTCCAGTAACAGCACCAGTGATGTGACGAGGAACACCAGCGGTAGTAAGAGTGGCGATGGTAATGGAGGCAAAAGTGGTGTCGCTAAACGTTCCCGTGAGGGCACATCGAGTGAGCTGTCTGTTTCGCCGAAACGTGGAAAAACTCTGAACCACCGGCACCATCGCCTAACTTCCTCTGAATCCGAAATACCGGATGATGATGAGGAGGAGGAGGAGGAGGAGGAAGCCAAAGGTGTCGATGATGGTGCCACCAGCAGTAGTTGTCTCACTGACTCACCTGTCCCACGAAAGCATTCCCTCCAACGTCTTGTTGAAGAGGCCAAGGGTCGACCGCCTTCTCTTTCCAGACTTGACAGTCTACGTGTATGTCTCTTTTTATCTCTCTAAGGTTACCTCTGGTTTTGAATCACAAATCTTTCTCTCACCTTTAAGCACACTCCTGTGTCCTCCACACCTATTCCTCTGGATGAGACAGTCTCTCCACTAGCACGTTTGAATAGCAATCGGCTCTCGCCTTCAATGGAACGGCCCAGAAAGAGGGCTTCCACTCGCTCCTCCACCAGTCCTCCACCTCTTCTCCCTCTTCAAACTTGTGGGCAGGATCTAGTCGACAGAAAGGAACGGCATCGGCTGAAAAAGCGTCGGCAGCTTATCCAGGCTACCTCCTCATCTGAGGATGAATTCTCCAAAAAATCCTGTATGTTTGCGTTTTATTACAGTTGAAATCGCTACAGGGCATGCGTCACTGCGGCACCATCAAAAAGGCATAAAATTGCACTGGCTGCACATAAGAAGAAAGCGAAATATTTCTCCTTTATCTCCTTTTTGTTTTCATGCATTGCGTATATTCACTCGCTACGGTTCGCAGAGGACGGACATAAAAACCGTTTACTCTATAAAAACACGCTAGTTTCATTGCTAGCTGGCTAAAAGGATACACACATCCCATACTTTAGCACAGGGAAGACGATTTATCTCTTCTGGTCCATGACATCTCTATACTGAAACAAGGTTTATGCCTTCATCCCTTAGACCTCACCCAGGCCATATGCTACGTTTGTGGACTCGGCATATCTCCTGCTGTCTGATTGTGTAGATGTTAAGATTTCAGACCTGATATTAGCTCACACATTAAGCTGTCAGCTCCTATGCCCTAATTTTTAGTCATATTAGCCCCTGAACGTTATGCATAGCTAGATAAATATGTGATTTCTTGAACACATCGGTATGTGACTAGACGTGATGATCAAAGCATTTCGTCATTTAGACTAAATTTTCCTTTTTAAAGAGGTGTCTCCGCTTTGACTTTTTTGGTCAAGCAGTCTTGTATACTCCACTTCTCTTCAACTGAAAAGCCACTAAATTTAGGCCAGTTATGGCCACTTTTGTTACAAAGGCACTTTTTTATATAAGTACCCTCGCATTCTGTTTATTTTTGGGATAAAGGGTAGCAATTTCGTTGATATGACTGGTTTCTTGTCGCACTGGATTCAGATTTCACGCATAAAATTTTTACCCATTTTAGGGTTGTGCGATTACCTTATCGCCTGCTTCGTGGTCCCACTTGAATAAACCATGAAAATTATTTCTTAAATCTGTCTTCTCTCAGTTTAGTTCTCTTTTAATCTTTGCTTTGCTGGTTCGTTAGTTGCTCACTTTCCTCTCATTAAAGTTTTCTCTTGTTCTATGGTTATTTGCGCCAATACACAAAAAAATTAAAATGACTTCGTTTGGAATTACCTTTTTTCTGCCTTAATTCATGCTGTGCTTCCTCATTTTAAACTAGCCGGTCATTTTAAACAGTCCCCTAATTTGGGTTTGAGACTATGGTTTAGTAACATATCATCCATTTTTCTCTTGACCTAATGCACTGCTCTTTATATCACACCAATCCTTATCGTAAGTCTTCAAGTCATTGCTGTTTGATCTCTTCATTGTTTGAAGAAATTTCATGTTAGACGTTTAACTGTTCGTCATACCCTAGAACTTAAGAATGTGATCGTTTGTAAACCTACTCTGCACTACTTATTGTGCTCAATGACTATCACGAATAAGCGTTTTGTGAGTTTGCAGCATCTGAGTACTGATTATCAGGAGTTTTATATTCCTGACATTTTCTCCAAGAAGTGGTTTTTTATCTAACTTGATTCCCCTCTATTCAGTGGTACTGAAGGAATTCCCTTCACGGCGTTCACTTTGATAACCACCTGTTTTAGCTCACCCAATGGTTATTGCTGAGCGCAATTCGAAGCGGAGCTCCAATCACAATCGATCCGCCGAAATGTCTATGTCAAGATCCCATGTTTCTCGTAAAAAGCAAAAGGGCCCCCTAATTTGCTCCTCCTCATCATCCTCGTCTTCTTCGTCATCAAACGCTTGTAGGCTCAGTCCAGCCTCCTTTAGCAAAGGCCATCGTAAGACCAACTCTGATGCACGTTCTTGCTCCTCGGAGGAGCGTAGGAAGCCTATTCCACAAAGATGTGAGTCAACATCTGGCACTGAGCCGTGTACAGAAAGTTCTGCGATGGATTACGATAGATACGAGAAGGATGAACTATCGTCCCTCAAAGCGCTCTCCGCTACTGCAGTTGCCGGTGGAGTAGCCTCCTCACGCCTCTCCCCTTCTTCCTCTAACATAGCTGCCTCCTCTGATCTCTCCGACTCCGATCGGACCGAGATGGTCATGGAGGCAGAGAAACGGATAGCTGAGGAAGTCGCGAAGTTTGCTGCCACATGGACCCACTTCTCTGCACACATATCCGAATTTTTATTGCGAGTTGGGGGCCTGGATCTCTCCAAAACAGCTGGTGATATGTGCATAACCGCAGTTGATCCGGGCGAGGATTTCTCTTCGGTCGTTGATCAGACACCGGTCGAGGCACGCCTATCCCGACGTGAGGTAAACGCCCTCTATCATGAAGCGGAGGAGGCACGAGTATCTGGATTCATATCCAACGAACCTAATGGACGTTTGGTCAGGTTCTTGAATCTGTTAAGAGTAAATATTCGTGATGCATCTTCGCTCATGGCTCCCAATCCCACCGTTGTGAGTGCCTTTTTTTTACCTTCCTAGAAATTTTATCGTATTTCAACGTGATGGAATTTTATTTCTCATCAACTTATTAGGCGAATTTCAAGGAACTTATCCAGCGCCGAAAGGCTCGCATTGAGCGTCGGAATGGTGGTGCAGAAGGCAACAGTGGCAGCAGTGAACTACTCTCCGAGTCATTGTTATGGTCTCATCCGGTGTGGATGCGAATTTTGCGTGGTCTGGATTCCGCACTTATTGCTCTTCACATCATTGCTGGACCTGATGTCCCTCGAAGTCGTCTGCTTGCTATGGAAGAACTCGTGGAAGCCATCACCGCTATTACACACTTCCACTTTAATCGACTAGTCACCGTCATTTGTACTCCTGACGGTGAGTTAGTTCACATCTTCAGCGTATGCTGCGGAGATTCAGTATTTGGTTTGGTGTTGGGACCAGGTCAAAAAGATCCAGTTAAGAAAAATTGCGGACATAATAACTTTGGTTTGTTCTTTAAATGCAGCTTGTAGGTTTCCACACCTCTAAACTAGGCGTCAGTGTTCGTATCACAGGCTTCGAAAAACCACTTGTGTCGGTCATATCACCTTGACGTCCTACTATTGAATTAGTTTCTGATCTGCCCCTGTAGATCTATCTGGTGCTTAAATGTTCAGGCGTAGCAAGTGAAGTTTAGCAAAAGAGTATGTTTTGCGGCCGCATTATGCTGCACATCAATGTAACATGCTTTTTTGTGCCCCGATATGGCTAATCTGTCCTTAACTTTGCCGACGAGGATTAATGTTGTTGATTGCTCTAAATGTCAAACGCGTCTCTCCACTTTAGTGTGTATATACCCCGCCTTTATGTTAATTACCTGTTACACTGATGAATTCATGTCGATTTTACTAACTGTTGTGTGGTCTTTTCATCTTATTTAATTAAAGGCTTGGATTTTTTTTCGAATTTTTACCCTTTCTGACAGTCCCATCATAGTAGTTGTGCTCGTGATACAGCAGTGTTGAACGTCCCGGTGTCATCTTACGCGCTGCAAGCGTTCACTTTATCCACTTGAAAAGGGAGCTTACATTTGAATCGAGATGCATCTCTGTCCACCAACTTGATCGTCTTTTAAACATTTAAGACTCGTGATAATCTGACTTGCAAACTCTATTTCAGTTAGCTTGCAAAAATGCAAAGAGGAGTAATTTCCCCTCGGTCAAACCCTTTTGGACACTATTGTTAGGTAAATGCTTTCCTTTGAGACTGAGAAGCAAATACCATACATACTTTCACTTCTTTACTATCGCCTAACGCTTTCATGGTTTCGGTTGTACCTGTTTATTGATTGTAATTTTCTCTTCCCGTATGGTGACTAATGTCTGTCCTAAAATACAGAAACTTAGCTGTTGCAATTCGCCCCCTTCTTCGTCAATCTGTCAATCGTGCAAATGCACAGGTTCTTGAGGGACTCCCTGTTGCTGAATCAGGCAGACTGAATGACTGTGCACGTTTTCCCTCCAGAGTCCAAACGCTCCGGGTCCAACATTCCTGTGGGGCTCACAAACCTTGTTCGTGAAAGCCTCGGCAGTCGATTGAGTGAAGCGTTGTGTGGTCTGGCTAGCCTCGTGCGTCTCCACCCAGGTCGATTCACCGACTCCCTCATTATGCACCTCACTGACCTCGCTATTCTCGTCATCTCTTGTGGGCTTAGCCCTGGGACCTCTCGAAGGTCACCCCCTCCAGGCACCACTGCTTCTTCTTCACCACCCTCTGCTATCCTCTTCCCTGAGACGGCTCCTCATCCCGTCCCTGGTGAGTCGCTGGAGCGGCGGGAGCGTCGTCAGAAGGAATATTATGAGCGCAACGCTTGGCGTCTTCAAATGCAGCGCTCTGCGCTCGCCCTTGCGTCCATCATCTTCTTACAGTATGATAAACACCGTCGTCTGGTCGCCAGTGATGTTCTGTCAAATCTCATCACCGCACCTATAAAGGCGGTCTCTAATAAGACTTCTATTTCGTCCTTTGCCAGAAGCTGCTCCGCTATGCGAAACTTCTGGTGAGTAAAGCATTACATATTTTCTCCACAGAAAGTTTGTGCCATACATCCGCTTTCTCGTTGCGTTTTAACAGGATTTTAGCATCGGGGAGTTTCACCAAAGGTTGGCAGCCCTTCTGCCGAAACGCCCAAACTTCCTCCTCGTCTGCCCATAACTTTGTGGCGAATTCGCACTTCCTTCGTGTGCATCCCTTCACCGCAGTCCTTATGGCCCTCATCCAGGGTCTTATTCCCGCCCCTTCACATATGGCTAGTGGGCGACGGAGTTCGAGTGCGGGTGCACCGGCCACCCCGTCAAGTGGTGTCAGCCAACAGTCCACTACCACGGGCACCGGCATGAGTGACCAACACGCCAACATGGATGCTACGCAGCTGGCGAAGGAGGAGAAGTCTATGTGCAGTGCATACACCAATGCCATTCGCACCTCTCAATTTCTGATCTCGGAGATGTTCAGAAAGTAATTTTTTATTTTTACAGCATGCCTATAAACCCACTGGAATTTATTTGCCCCTCCTCATTTCTAACTTAGAGCTGTTGCTAAGGGGGAGGATAATCTGAGTCCACTTGTCGACACAGTTCTCGTTGATCTTCTGAGGGTAGCAGCCGATGCTCCAATTGAGTGGCCAGTAGCGAGTCTCCTGCTCACTATTTTTGGCAAATTCCTGATCCAACAGCTAAATGGTTCCTCCACAACACCCTCCTCCTCGCGAAGTCAAACTCCCACTCAAGGAGCTGCTGCTTCCGCTACGGCCTCCTCATCCACAACGACCTCAGCGTCAAATCGAAATGCTGATTCCATGGCTCGTCAGATTGCTTTGGATAGTCTTATCACTCTCACTGGAGGTATGTATTACCTCCAAAAGCTTCGGGGTTCTGTCAATAAAAGCAATTTTGATCTAGGGGAGGCTAGGAGTGCACTTTCCACATTCCTTGGAAGCCCTATTTTGGGTCTCTATCATCTTACTCTCGGTATTGCCGACGAATCGAAGATAGATGCTGCTTCTGCCCCTGCTGGGGAACTCCCCAACCACACACGACAGCGAGATTTCGCTTATCAACTCATCTCGCGCCTTCGGTATAACCACTTTGATGGTCTCACAGTGGTACGGCATCGTTATTATCTGGTTTAGACACCTGCATCGCCGCGTGTGTGCATGCGTTGATGGTTGGATTTTGGCCCTTTTAGGCTGCCAAAAGGTTCCACTTGGTGACGTGGTTGCACGAAACGAACCAGGAACTCAGCTTAACCACACCTTCATCAACTGAAGAGAGGCGAAAACAATTGGAGGAGATCCGTAAGGGTCTTTTAATGGAGTTCGCCTCAACCCATCACAGCATCTCTGGCATAGCCCCCTGGTTACCTCCCACGCGTGGAGCGGGTAGTGGTGGTGGCGGCGGTGGTGCTACCAGCAACCGTGCGGGTCTCATCAGCCCCGCAGCCTCTGAGCCCAGCATTGCGGGCGAGCGGCCACTGAGTGATACGAAGCTGGCTCTTTACACTGGCTACGGTGTGGGCGCCGACATCAGGCATAAAAAAACCGCTTGTGCACATAGATTTGCCACTAAAATTGCCGCGCATATTCACAATCCAATCGGGTTCGATGTGCTCTATATGCAGATTGTCAAGGTCAGTCGCTCTTCCACTCACTTCTTCTGAGTCCTCCCTTTTTGGGGTTGGTTAAATGGGCACACAAGAAGCGTAGTTGTGCCTAAACAATCAGCTTGGTGCGTAGTCTCTCTCGATCTGAACAGCATTCTCATCACTTCTGATTTTCAAAAGCTTTTATTCAGTAGTCCGTGTGACTCCTATTAGAACCAATAGACTTATCACTGCACCGTCATCAAATTGGCACTCGGGTTATCTCTGGAGATGTACATAATTTTTGTTTGTGGGAATACAGAGGCGTTGGGATCTGATGCTGACGTATACCATGCCGTATGGAAGATTGCCTGTTTCTAGCCTCAAATAAAATCCTTGAGGGCGTCAATATGACCTGTCACCTGTCTTCTGGACTAAGCATGCAAGCTGGACGCTCATCATTTGCGAATGCGCTCATTCGTGTAGGCGGTATTATGTTATTGATGGTGCTATTCATGGTGTAGACTGTGTGTGCACATTACGACAATTAAATACACCCAACTACACAGTGCTCCATCAAGAGTTGTCGACACCACACCATACACACAATCGCTCGCTCGTTAGCTACTTGATTGATGCGCCTAGATCTCGACTGTGCCACATACGCCCTCACAATTGCCTGTTTAAACAAATTTGTTCGTTATATGTGCGTACACAAGACACCCGTGCCAAAAGGATTTCCGTTTTTATAGCTTGATGAACCTGTCATTACTATTTTACCTCTTAAGAAAGAATAGAGGGATAGGTGATCGTAAATGCATGAATACATTGGGTCTTCTTATTGGCGACTCTTGTTAGACCAGGATCCCAAAGAATGGCAACAATAGGGATAGCAATGGACGGGAGCGTCAAAATTAATCATGAGGACTAATGAGTCTAGAAGTAGCTCTACTACAAGCCTTCAGGAGGTTTGGGAGAAGAACACCTTGTCTAGCATAAGTGAGATGCCACTAAATGGGTGCGGGGACCGAGTCAGTCGTTTAGCCAAAGGCATAAAAGCCTTGTTCTGTTATACCGATCTTTGTCCTCTTTTTTCTTCACCCCTGGTGACCGCTTTTGGCATTTCTGCAGAAAGGAGGATCATGTGATGATTTCTGATCGCTGTGAGGAGACATGAGACCCTTTGTGAGATGCATTTTAAAAGTTCAGCCGTTTTTTTGTTGCTCAAGCCTGAATGTTATTCAACAGCGTTTTTTTTTTCGTATGTCGACCACGTGACATACGAAGGCCCGTTCGGAGATCTGGTTTTCACTTTTCTTTGTCTCTTTTCTGTTTCTGTACTGCCGAGCCTTCTTATCACTCCATTAATGAACGTTTTGCAGAACCCGAGCCTGAATATTTCTAATATCCATTCTGCTACTGTTCCCCGTAGATTCGCCTGACCCCATCAGATACCTTCATCTCGTGGCACTTTGCCGTAGATCCAACCGGTGACATTTGGTTTTACCAACACTTCCACCTATGTAGAACCGGAATTTTCTCTGAGGTATTACATGTCTGCAAGTAGTTTTTTGTACGAACCTACAGGGCTTGGAATACTGGTAGAGCAGGCCATTGGTGTGGAGGTTGAATTTCTGGAGACTAGAAAGACTCGTGTAATCAAACAGCACTTTGATACGCCTGAAAAACGTTCTCAGATCAACATGTCACAATTGGTTTTTTCCCTCCTCTGCAGATGGTCCACGATGCATCGCTTGTTGTACGTACTCGAGCACTGAAGGGTCTGTCCAACTTGGTTGAGACCTATCCAGAGTGCATTCCAGCACCGGTGATCACGGAGAGCCCTACTCCTAGTCCCTCAGACCTCCTCTCAATCGTTCCTCTTCGCCTCATGGATGGTTCACCGATGGTGCGCGAGGCAGCCGTCGAGTTGGCTGGACATCTGGTCAACATCCCCGACTCTGCCTTTCCATCACGCCTCTTCAAGCCTCTAGTCAATCGGGTGCTTGATATGCAACTCAGTGTTCGCAAACGTGCTGCCAAGAGTCTGCAACAACTCCTTCTTTCTGACTCTGATGACACACTTCGAACACCTCTGCTTACCTCTAAACAACGATCTGATGCCTGTGTCACGCTTCTTAGACGTTTTAATGACGAAGATGCTATCAAGGTGAACTGACAATACTTCTGTATTGTGTTCATAAATCGATCTCTTTGTCCTAATCATTTGTCGTTCTGCTGAATAGAAAATTGTAATGGAGACGTTCACAGCGCTCTGGTTCACTTTTGGAACTGGTGAAGATGTGGACGCTTCCAAATTGGCCGTACGTCTCGAAAAACTTGCCCGGAACATGTGTGAGGTGGTTTTAAGCGTTCGGGGCCGTGGTTCTGGTGTGGTGGAAGAATTCATGGCCTCGGTAAGCACTCTCTTTTACCAACAGTGAGAAAAAAGTGCGAAAGTCATTGGGTAAGTACTTGACTCATGCAAGAGGACGGAAAAATCCCTAATTCACGTCCTCGTCCTCCAGTGTGTTGAAAAAAATATAGTTGATGAAGCGAAAGCAGGAGGGGAGCAGTTGACTCACGTGCATTGCTTGTTAAACAAAAACTCTGCCAGATGAAATATGACTGAATTTTGCCTGCAGGACATGCTTACGAGTACGTGTTTGGGATTTTTTGTCCACATGCTGCAGCGCCCAGACAATTGCTAGCTTCTTCCATTCCTCTCCCCGTCCTAACTGCTGTCCGATAGTCAGCTGTCTTTCCGCAGATTGGGTGTCTCCTTCTAGCGAGCGCCTTATGTTGTGGACGGAGATTTATTTCATTTTCACAACGCCAGGGTGACCGTTTCAAATTTCGCGAGGTGTCCTCATTTAATTGAGTGTCCTGAAATCTTTATCCTCCCGATTCGCCTTACTGCATACCCCTTTAGCAGTGATGGTTTTTCGCCACTGACTTGTAATTTGCTTTCATCTCTGTCCATAGGGTTTCGCGTGCCTCTTTGCTAGCCGCTCATAGATCAATCGCAATGCCGTGTAATTACTCCTTGCTGTCTGATGTAGGGAAATCACACGGAAATGTAGCTTTCAGATAAAAGACGCTTTTCGCAACAGATAAAACGATTGCACACTTTTTACTTGGATTTTCAATGTAGTTTTAGTCACCAGTTGCAGTATTATTTGCTTTTTTAATCACAGATTCTTAACCAAGAATCACCAGAGAAGGCAGTTCAAGTTGACGCCGCCAGCTCCGAAATTGTCGACTTTCTTTTGAAGATAGTTCAGCGCTACCACAGTAAGCTCTCATCTTTCTCTCGCGTCGCATCCTCATGTTGCCGGAAGTGCATCTATTAGCAATTCATCTGCATTTTAACACGAATTTCATATCATTAAATCTCTCAGTCTGTTTTCTTTGTCCACTTCCTTTTTTCACCTCGCTTAATGGCTTCCCACATACAAGGTTCACTTATCGATTTTTGTAGCAAATTATCGATTATTTCTTCCCCACCGCAGGTGCATTTGTAATTTAATCAATATCTAATTAGCCTGCAACTGTGGGAGGTTGGGGCCTTCTTCTGGGGCACGAAAACTGTGTTAATTTAAAAAAAAGTGTGGCTTGGTTACTTTAAATTTTATAATTCTTACTGAAGTAATAACACGTATTCCCCTCTTCTTTATTTCGTCTAGATGCAAGCTGGCACACAGCAAGTTGTCCACTTCACCCGAAACACAATCGAGGACGTCCATGTAGCCCTGAGGCTCACTGTAAATGCTCTACTCAACCGCCAGACGTTCTGTCAGTACAGAATGTTTTCCTAGTACTTAGCATCATGGCCAAACCTCGGCCTCAGTTATTTTTGCAGCATATACCCATATTAGCCGAAGTGGTCGCCTTCGCTGCTGTCTCGCAGGACAATGGGGGCGTTCTGGATGGCAATACTCTCTCCTACGCCATAGAGATTATTGAATCGTGCTGCCGCCATGTTGCCGCCGAACGAGGCTCACGGTTGAGGTATGACGGTGCTTTATTAATTCATTGTCAAGTTCTCGATACTGTTTTTTCCCAACGTCTCACTACCGCGTTTTTAACGGCAATTTGTTCTATTACTAATGCAGGCAGTAATTTCTTGTCTCAGTAATAACCGCAGCGGACGGTTGTTTTGAGCAAAGTTTTACACCATAAAAGTGTTTATCTGGCGATTCGATCTTCAAGATGATTTTTTTGTTTTATGTGCGGACAGGCTAAATTATGTCAAAAAGTAGTGGTCATGTAACTTTCCTGTCGCTTTAGTCAACTGTTTCGCGATGGCACGGATGCCTTGGAGGATTACCTGATCGTCCTTCTTCAGCGACATTGTCGTGTCGTTGTGGACTCGTCGGTTGCATGCCTGGCAGCTATCGCTACTCAGCTCACCATGAACTACTCCCGTGTGGCCACCTGTTTCGCTCAGTTTTATGGTTAGTACTGTCTCATTTGAGCAAAGTTTTGTTAGTTTGACTCAGTCAGAACCTTATTTTTTTCATCTCCTTTGAAATTGTGGATCTGGTCAGGGTGATCCAATTTGACGTTTTGCCCCCCATTATTTCTGTGAGATGGTAGAATCTAGCTTGATTCGGTCCCTATTTGCCTACCTTTGTATCATCTCGCCTGATACGATTCACGTCGTTTTCTGTAAGATACACGGTCTTCAACCTGTGATTGTCAAATTTATAATTATCAGGCCATTTGATCTTCGTCGTCTACCTACGTGTTCATTATGGTGGATGCATTTACCTTTTGTGTTGAAGATCCTAAATTCTTCTGCCTCATACCTGGGTTTTGTTTCCATCCCAAAATCGGTAAAGTAGGCTAACTGTTGTACAAAAAATTATCCCCTGCTATCATCTCTGTAAAAGTGTAAATAGCCTATTCGTATGTTTATCTCAAATGCGGTCCAAACGTTTTTCCTCCTCGCATCTTGATCTGTACGTCTTTAATTTCTACTGTCCTTTGGCACTTTTCTGCTTATTTCTGGTGGCGATTTTCCACCTCATTTGGTGCCTGAAAAATCCTGTGTTCTCTCTGGTATCTTTATTTGAAGATGCATAAAATCATTCTCGCTTTGATTTCCATCGGAGGAATTTGTTTTGCAAGGGAGCAGTAGTAAAAGTTCTTGTTTTTTCCCTCCCCATGTGTGCTTCTAACATTTCCTCTTTATCTTTACTATCAGTGTGAATAGCTAAGTGGGCATTCTCCTCCTCTCCTGCACTCCCTTGCCGTGGACCAATCTCTTCTTTTTCAATTGGCCCACTCAAGTAATTGGTTTTGCAAAACCGGCTAGTTGTTTAACGCCGGTGACCTACATAGCATGTTGACTTGAAATCCTCCTTCTTGTCTTTCTGTCATTTGTAGTTACTTTCCGATGCCTTGGTTACATGCTTCCTTTCTTAATATTTTCCCTTTCAATTATACACCGTCACTTTCTTTCCCTCTTTATTGTTTGCTTAAGTCGTTTTGGATCCAACTTTTTGAACCTCTAATAGATAATTTCTCCCCTGCAGGTTCTTGTCGACTGCTTATTTTGCTCGAGAATTTAACCTCATGCTTATTTGCAGTCATTTCTGATCTGCATTTCAAAGCGCATAAACTTCGCTTTAATTCACACACTTATTTTGTACTTTTATAGTGAGTGCATGCCTTGCATCCGTTCATTTAATGTAAAAATATTGTTTTGGTTACCCAGGTGTTCACTAATCTGCCTTTTGTGATTATTCAATAAGTTAATGACAACATCGTCAAGGCCAGGTATAGATATACTTTAATATTTTGCTCCTTCCTCCACATTAATTATTCTCCATCATCTTAATATTTAATGAATTGAAGCCAGCCTCAATAATTTCCTCTCACGGTGAGAGGATCTTCAAACTCACTTTCAGTGTTGCGTCTCACTTGTCATGTCCGATTTACAAACAGCATTGCAGGCATTCGTTTGTAGCGCACTATCTAGGACTGGAAAATGTTCGGTATTTCGGCTGCAAATCGGTCCTCAATTATTAATCTTGATTTTACTCTGTCTTTCCCTTTTCCACTTTGATACAACCTGGATATTTATCCTGTAAGTCCTCAAATCATGAGATTTTACTATTAGATATCAGTGGTGTTACCAGCTCTTTCGCGGATGGTTTTTACTCGTTCAACTCGCAGCTACCATCCAAAGCAAGAGATCGGGGTATTCGCTAAAATACTACGTATTTTGAACAGATTTTGCTATCCATGGCAGATTATTTTCCTTTAGGAGTCTTGAGTAAATAGCCGCCGATACGTTGCGATGTAACTTGATATAACCTAATTCTGTCATGTTTTTTGCAAAGGAGTAATATTTGTTGGATAAATCCTACCAAGCTGCCTACATTTTAGCGTCCGATGTATCCATGTAGATGCTTTTTAGGCATAAGAGGCGGAAAGTGGCACTATTACCATCATACTAATGGCGTAGCACCGGTGTGGGAGGCAATTTGCGGGTGGCTCCAACAGGTATACGCATCAGTATGTTAAATTAAAACAAACACAGTTCTACTGCACTTATGTGTTGTCTTAGCTGGTCTAGAAAGTGCTAGAAAATGGCTTTATTTTTTGGCACATGTGAGATAAAAAATTGGAATATTTGATGACCTTATCAAAACCGTGCTCAATCGTAGTAGAGGCTGTAACTCGAATCCAAAGTGTTCCCAAAATACCTCACGTTATTAGAACAAAAGCTGGTAACAATTGACTGTCTTTGCTTTCAGAATGTCTAATACAAGAACGCAAAGCTGCAACAGAGCGCCTAAGGAGGCTCACCTCCAAACACACTGCTTTCACCGCCTCTTCCTCCTCCTCCGTTTCTTCTCTACGTTCTCCGTTGAAAGCGCGTCCCAAGGTACTCCGCGCTGTCTATGCTGTTGGATTGATTTGCAAGCATTTCTCTCTCAAGGATCTTGCTAACGCCGCCGTCAAACTGAGTAACGAGTCTAACACTGGTGCTCGGCGCTCTTCCATTGATCTCAGTATTCTTACCCATCAGGTGGGTCTTCGTTCTCGCCAAATTGTGACTCGGGATTATTTGATCTAGCGTCCCTTCTGTTCTTAAAACTGTGGATGTTTCCCATGGGGATTTTACCGTTATCCCCTTTTATGCGTAATCTACCACACGATTTGGCTTCATTAACAGGTGGGCTTTTCCTGTTGTAATGGTGGGATTTTGATGCCCTCATTTCACCTTGTAGGCTAATATCGGAACGAACAACCGCGATGAGGTCTTCAACACTCTCATGTTCTTCTCAGAGACTGCTCTTCTGATGAATATCGATGAGGAAGCTCGTCGTGCCCTCATCACCACCAGTAATGAGGACGTTGAGATGGCCAAAAAGGCCGTTGCTGGTCTCTCCTTTTTGGCCAACCGACACGATTACCTTTTCCGCTCGCCACGCCTTCAGGAATTCTTTAAGAGCATTCTCTCCGGAGTGAGTGCCACTTTTCCACAACAAGCTGTTGCTGATCTTCAGTGTATCGTTCTCGACTGTATAAACGCCTTTTTGGTCGACGAAGAGAAAACGATGCTGAGTAATGATAGCAATTGTGAGTTCGAGAAGTTTCAAATCTGAGATCTCTCCCAACACCTGAGGAAATTGTATATTTTTCGTTTTTTTCGTCTCCCAGGGCTGGCGCGACGGAAGCAAGAATCGCTGAAAGATCTGGGAGATAGTCAGGAGGTACACGGTGGCACAGTGGCACAGATCTACTTGAAGACTGCTCTAGAGCACTGCATCATCTGCCCCTCGACCACAGTACGCACCAAAGCCCTCTCTCTCGTTGCTACAGCTGCGCGTCAGGGTCTCGTCCATCCTGTCAGCTTCATCGCCCCTCTCATCTCCCTCCAAACTGATCCTGAATTTGCTGTTAGGTCCCGAGCCATCAGCATTCTTCAGGAGATCTCTCAAAGATACTCGGGTTTTCTAGCTGTTAGTTGTTTTTTTTTGCACCTTTGAAAATCAAAATTAACCCTATCTGTCTGAACCCAATCATGCGATTCCTCTTTCGCTGAAGTTGCCGTACTTTTCCCCAGGTGTTCCATTCTTGTTCGGATGTCTTCAACAAGCTGGTGTTTTCATTGAGGTGTTTTGTAATACACTGGGACTCTTACCTTTAAAATCTTGATAATTCTCACTTCTTCTAAATTCTCAGGTCTTCTACTAGATTTCCCGGTTTTGGTGAGTTATTTTGAGTGAATCAAAAACTAGCATTTCCACATTTTTTAAATATTAGAGCAGCACAGTTCTCCAGTAGCAAAAACAGTTAATCTTGCTAGGTTGTCTCAAGCGGAATTCATTTTCCCCTTTTTGACTTTTTATTCCTAATTTCAGAATAGTCTGGATTACTTAAATGGTATTCTGTCATGCACACATTCCATGGTTTTTCCAAATCGTTGTTATGTTTTCCATATGAAATCCTACTTGGTTCATCGCCGGTCACCTAATAGCTCCTCATCTCTTTGAACTGCCCTAGATGCATTAATAACTTAACCTTATTACTTTAAAAATTGTAATGGCTCCTAGTGTCTGTCTCGTGTTTTTCAAAAACAAATTATTTGACCTGACAGCCTATACATGTGTATCTCGTCACTTCTTCAGGTCTTCGTCTTTTGTCGAGTTATTCTGCGTGTATAGATAGGTATATACCTCATTGAATTGTTCTGGAAGGTACTTTGTTTTCGTTTTCTTCAAATTTCTTTATCGTTTTTAACCGATCTCTGTGTTACGCGATTCATTTACAGTTTTTTAGGCCTTCAAATCATATTGGGATGTGCGAAACAAACTGATTTTGTGTATCACTTCTTTTACTCTCAGCTTTCTGTCCCTGTTCTCAAAAAAACAAACAGTGCTGCTATCTTGTTACGTTTAGCCATCTACATATGGTGCCAGTACTCAAGGTCTTACTCTTTTCCAGGTTATCTGAGGTGACGTGATAGACAGAATCCCATCGAAGTGGTCTCAAGAATGTACTCCTCCGTGTAACTTTCTCTCCAAGTCTTTGATCTCGTTAAGTTGTTGTAAGCACGGACAGATTTGGAAACTGTCATCTCTGACTTTATTTTATTGGAACCTTAATAGTTAATGTATGCCAACCATTTATTACCTTTACATTCTAGATCCCTCATCTTTTCTGACCAACCTTGAGCTATTTGATGGGTGGAATTTCTTTTCCCCTCACATCACTCTGACACTGTCGACTTTTTTAATATCACTTCATCTCAATTGCCTTAAACCATCTGGTTTTGCTGGTTTGACTCAAACCGGGTAATTATTGCATCAGAATACCACAGCAAGTACTTACACTGCTTCGGTTTTTTTGCATTTTCGCTTTTTTGCAAAAAAACTACTCGTTTCCCTTGTGACTAGTTTTGGACAAACCCTGAGAGTTTTTTTGGTTTTCTAATGGTTACAATTTCGTTGCATTACCTTCAAGCATATTTTTGGTGATTTTCAACCGCAAATGTAACGTGGCTCTCTTGCAGTTCTCCGAATTTTTTCATCTTTTTAGATACTTTTAAACAACCTGGTAATTTCATTACATTCCTGTGAAAAGTCACGGCCTTTTTAGTCCACTTTGAAGATTGAATACATTTACCGGTTATTAGTTCATTTATTTCCCAGGTATTGCACATTTTCCATTCACATTGAATTTTTTCCAAGTAAATTATTTATCACTGAATCCTGTTATTATTGAGTATTACTTTAAAATGGATCATCTTGACTACTCCAGATCTTCTGATTTTGACAGTTTTGTCGCGCAAAATTAGCCCTATTTCTTGTGACTGCTTATTCATATTATGCGGAATGTCGCGTTTCCTTCTGCCATTGATCAAATCATCTTCTGTAGATTAGTACAGCCTCCCTCTGTCGTCTATCAACAAACCTCAAAAACCACCCTGTGTGTGTGGGTGCGTACGTGCGCCTTGATATGACGAGGCATCAAATTTGGTCGTAATTTTTCTTCCAACACGCACTAACACCACCAGTGTGTGCACGCGCCTTCATCAATCACAACTTCGACTCTTTCGCCTTCATACCCTTTTTATCCATCCACTTAGTCAGCATGAGGGGGTTAGGGTGAGGGGTGGGACAGAGTGAGAGAAAACTGGGCGGCTGTACGTGCGCTGGGCGAAATTACATTGCCCTTTGGAGAGAGAACATGAATTCTCTATTTAGTACCCTTTGAAATACCCTCACCCTTCTTCTTTCTCTGCCTTTTTTTCGTCGTATACCTTAGGCATGACTTTCAGAGTGGATACAGTAGAAATCCGTTTATTTGCTTGGTTTATTCATTACACCTGCCCACGTGCATTCACCGCTGATTTTCGTATGCGAATGTGTTTGAACGTGTGAATACCACTGCTTTCACAAATGAATTGTACTGTACTTCGCCCGTCCTGCGTACCAAGTTGGTGTATTGCGTTTTGTCAGAATTTTGCTGTTTTCATTATATCTCGTGGCGTAAACGAGCAATTTCCTAGTAATCCTCATATATTTTTCTTGTCCGCCCCCTCATCTAAATAATGCCTTCGGAAGTGAGCAGATCGCTACTGAAAAAAGTGCTCCCCTTACATTATAATGGTTACGCTAGTTGTGTACTTTTTAGTGTTTTTATGTGTAACGGAATGAAAATTAGAGTCTGCAAAACTGTGACCATTAATGGTACGTTACTATTCAGCCTTTCTCCCGACCGTGGAGACACTGGCACCTCTTCTTGGTATGTGGCCTTCTGGCTAGCTGACACCTTTTTAAATGTGTCAAGTAGTATTCTTTTCTCCGCATTTACTGTGAATTTTACTCTCCAAATGTGATATTTTTTGCTTAGTGAAAGTTTTCATGTTTACTGCACTTTAAGTCAGTGCTCGGGATGCTGGTACTTCACAAGTGCCCCAATATTCTACCCTGATTCATTATTCCTTGTACTTTTACATCGCTCTTTATGCCCTATCGCTATTTGCTTGAAGTAGCACTTCGCTTCGTGTGTTGTATCAACTTTCAGTTTTGCGCAGATTTTGTAGATTCTTCATAAGAAGGAATGTAGATGAAATTCATTTTATGAATCTACCAGCAAATAGGTTAATGATATGTTCAACGAACTTCTAGTTATGCTTTGTGATTGCTATTAGAACATATATTTTAAACTGGTTCAGTCAAAACAAATTAGTTACTTCTTCTGCCTTATTAGTTTTACAGAATTTATAATACTGGATGTATAAGGAGTGCGTGAACCCTGTTCTCTATCATATAAACTATGTAAATTGAATAGGTGAACCTATATTTGAATAATAATTTGCCGATTATGTTGGCTGTGTAAATGGTATCTGCTTGTAGCTGTCAAATTCCTTTTTGGTAAGAAATTTTTCAATGTTCAATACATTTTTCTCACTCAGCTGAAAGCAGCGCAAGGTATTCGCAGCGGTTTTCTTCTCCAGCGGATGATTGCATCATCTTTGAACAAGCAGCAGACGATTATTCGTGGCGCTTATGTTGGCAAAGCTGCTGCTACCTCCACTTCCTCCTGCCCTGACAAAACAGACGTCTCGAGTGCACAAGCTCGACCCCTCGCCCTCAGCCACCCAACTTACAGCCTCCTGCAGGGCAACAAACAACACCGGCGTTCTCTTATCACTTCACTCGTCAACCTCTTTGACATGGACTACGTACGTCGCATCCCTTCATACTCAATCACATTTTAGTACCCAATGCAACCTTATCTGCCCGGGACACTGACCTTACCCCCCCCCCCCCCCTACCACCCTATCTCTACTTCTGTTTATGTTTGGTTGGGCGGACGTGTATGCGTGTGCGGGTAAAGGGCTAACCAGTAGCAGCTGGCTCTGGGACTACACGTCCGCACCCATGCCCATTCGGACAAGGCGACTAGCTTATTCCTTCCTCGTCTTTTGACCGTGTCCTAAATCGGAATTTCCATGAACTTCAGTAGTGATTTGTGGCGTCTGAATTATTCCTAAAGATGGGAAAAGATGCATTGATTTAAATTTAGCTTTATTACTAACTAAAGGAGTGGCTGCAAAACTGGCAGCGTAGGTAGGATGAACAGTGCCAAAGTGGTTCATTTGGCAAAAGATATCTTTCTTTTGCGGAATAAACCTCGCATATTGTGTAAGCATACACATCAGTGAAAAGAGTGATTCGAGTGTATTGCTAGCTAACTGAATGGCTGGGTGCCCAGTGGTTGTCGTTCACACTTTGTCGTCTACCGCAGATTCCGCAACCAGCTTCCCAAGCCATTTCGCCTTACATTTCAATGGCACCGGATGTCACAGTGAGGAAATCTGCCTCCACTCTCGGTGCCACGGCAACCGATGTCGTCGACGCAACATCCGAAGACAATGGTCTTTCAGAGCTTATTTATGTCTGCGATCACCTGGCCCACTTTCCCTATAAGACGGTGGATGAGGTCTACTACCTAGCACACTATCTCGATCTCCGTATTAGCACAATTGGCTCTGCGCTGGTTCGTAGCCTCCAGGACTGCCTTGTTTCAACCTCTCAACTGAAATCAGAGTCTAGTGCTGTTGGAACTGATGTCGATGCTGTAACAGAACCCCCTTCTCTCATTTATGACCGAAAGGTAGGTGATTTTCACAACTTTGTCGTTGGTAATGTGTGCATTCCCACACACTTGCACGGTATCGGCCGCGTTCACACGTCTGCCTGTGAATTTACTCTTTCGGTCAGTGTACTTCTTTTTTCCTATCACCAACAAGTTCTCATAAATTCATGTTTCACGCATTTCGCTTTTAGTTGCACATCTATCGTCCCTCTTTATCCACTTCCCATCTTAGGTTTTCTAATGTTAAATAAAAATATAATTACAAAATAAGTCATCTGCGTTGTGTTTATGACAGATGTTTCATCCTTTGTGATCTGAAATTCTTTGGCATTGGTCATTGCAAAACCAGTGGTGCTGTTGATCTTATGAGAATCGGTCTGTTAAACGGCAATCGGGACGTTTAGAAACACGTGTTTGACTGACCTCTGTCATGTTTATGTAATCTCTTGTTCTCTAAAATAGCGAGGCGCTATTTCACGAAGGGTTGCAAGTTTATCTTTAAAATGTTGTGATATTGTTGGACTTAAGAAATACCAATTACACATCCCCATGGACAATTGCTGCAAAATAAATCCAGTAAGCAAGCTTTTGAAATTGCCTTCCCATAACTCCAACCTTCATGTCAAACCTGAAGCTATCGTTAGTAGCATGACTAGCTCTTATTATCCATCTTTCATTAGTTCCAGTTTTTTTTTCCGTTTGTTTAGGTAATCAATCTCCTGGAAGACGTGGAATCGGAACTCTTTGCCAAATCGGCTATGCCTTTAGAGGTGGGTCCGAACGAACGAAAGGCCATTGACCGCATAAATCGACCAGTCGCTGCGGGCAAACGTCTCGCCTTCCGCGAAAAGGTCTTTCGCAATGGCCCTGCCTGCCTCCTTCTTATGGCCATTCGCAAATACCTCGAGGAGGCCTACGATGTCACTTCCAAGTGAGAATCTGGCATCTCATTTTTCTTTGTGAGATTTATGCGTCCCTTTAAACGCCCAAGTTATATATTTGCCAAGCTGACATCTTTTTGAAGTATCCTATCGCCTTTACGCCTGTCTAATGGCTGTATCTTCGACCAAAAGTTGCGTGATTTACATTCATCACCTCCTTCTATCATTCGTTTTTACCGTTTGGAGCATCTCTAATGAAGTAGCTTTAGAGGCTGTTAACGTAGGCGACGTGAGCAGAGTGCTTTTCTACTAGCGCAGTAGCCAATTCACGGAAATACGTTAAAACAAACACCCTTTCTGTGTTCCTCTTGTTTCATATATCGCCCTTGGCGCACCTTGTAATTGCCCCTTCTACATCAGTACTCACCTACACTAAAAACACCTGCGACATGGGAATGAGGATCATCTGATGGTTTTTTGCCTCTAAGAAATTTCTGGATACTGGGATATTTTTGAATCTGATTATTTTTTTAGGATCTACCTTTTGCATCCTACTTCTGAACCGATTTGGAATTTTTGTACGAGGCATTACTTGGGGCTGGGGTGGGCTGTGCTCTACAGAGAAAGCACTCAATTCGAGGTTTGGACAGTTGTCAAGCCGTAACGTGTTCTTTTAAAACAACTATCCGCCGTGATTTAGTTATCTGCGGTTTATGTTTTTTTTTTTTGACAGTCGTTAAAATTGCAATTGTTGCCTTTTTTGGAGCGACATCACCATCGCTGCCATTAATTTAGCATCGGTTAGATCCCTGTGGGCACAAAAGACGTATGAGTCTGGAAGCTGCTTTATTCCGAATGTATAGATGGGCAGAGGGGGTTATTAGAATAGTTTGCCTAAAAGGCATCTGATGCCCAGGGCGTAAAAACCGATTCGTGGTAAACTGGCAAGTCTCATGTGATCTCTTGTACGATTACACCAATTCTTCTGCTAGACCTGCAACGTGCCTAGTTTGCTTAATCCAACCACGGACTTATTTTGCTTCCCTTTAGTAAACTGAGTTCCTACTCCTCCACCGATGAAAAACATTTGCAAAAACCCATTCCATCGCCTTCAGCACGCACGCTTCACTCAGGCGTGCTTTACCAATTGGTTGAGATCCCCGCCATAGTGACCTCCTGCGCCCTCAATCCTGCATGGCCAGTTGTGAGTCCTAGCCTGAAGGAGGCCTTAGTCCGTGACAGTGGTGCTGGCGACGCGGCAAATTTGGACATCAACGTCCTCCGAGTGGCCCTCCTCGTGCACCGCCAACTCCTCACTGTAGATGGGTCTGATGAGGCTCTGGGCATGGAGATCGCGCCTCCTCCATCTCCTCTTCTGCCCCCGATGCCTCGTCCCTCCATCGGACCTAACGGCGATATGGTACAATCAAAGAGGGCAGCGGCGGCGATTCCAACCCATCGGGAGACTGAGAGATTTAGAGGTAGTAGTTTTGGTGCTGCTTGAGTTGTTCCTTCCGGAGTCCACACTCCACATAATTACTCTAATCACTTGAATTTGGTTTATTGTTCCGCTTATCTAAGGCAAAATGGTTCTCGTTTTATCCTTGGACTTGTTGACTTTTGTTGCGGCACTTTTTTGCTTTGAAATTATATGTGATGGAATGGTGAAACTCCATGATAGCAAAAGGTGTTCTCGTTTTACAATTTAATGTTTTTTTTTTGCTTTATGAATTCTTCGTGTGCTTCAATTTACATTCTTTGAGCTGTTGGAACGGCTTGTATTACATTTTGTTAATGCATCCTCTTAAGAGAAAGCCGAATGAAAATGGATTTTTTAATTTTGAAATGTTTGAACTACGTCTGCGGCCATTGAGACAGTTTGTGAGACGCTAGAAAAGTAGTATGGCCTTACGTCTCCCCATCTTAGTCTTGTCTTACCCCCATGATCAAAGGCAAAACACCTACATGGCATTGGTTGAGAGCTATGACCTTTCAGATTTGGGTATTGGGAAATATTGCTATTTTAACAGAGTTGATAAGTTTAACATTTGCAATACATGCACACCCAATGATCTCCAGGTGTTTGCGGAATGTGTGGAGGGTGTAGAGGACAGCTAAACTTCATTCTTTATCAGGCCGCACTCGCAAGAATCCCAACTGCTAGATGCCTAGTCTATTTGAGTAGTTTGGCGGACGTTGATGATGTAGCTTCAGGACTGTGCAAGATAGAGGTAGACACTGCTTATGTCTTATCTTCAAGCACTTCCTTATTGGCCTTTGTTGCAAGACTTGCGGGCAGTGAAATCGTCTGTTGTATGCTGACTGGGATGGTGTCATGAGTTTGTATCACGTTAGAGTCGTGCCTTCCGACTAGTGGTAAATGTGAGGAGTTGCTTAAGTAAACAATGCTTTGGCTTTTGTTATGGGTAGTGAAACCGTTCATTAAAAAACACGGACGGAGGTGGGATAAGGAATTGAAATAGTAACAGGAATGTCCCTTCCTTTTCAATAACGCTTTTGTGTTTCATGGGGTTGATTTTCTCCCACACTCCAAATTTTAGTTTGTAACACGGTCACATATGGAATATTTTCGCCGTGTTGTTTGGCAATTATGACCTTTCGAGGTTAGTTGTTGAGGTTTTACTATGGCACAGCTATTGATAGGCTTGATATTTATAGAATGTGCATACCAACGATCATTCGAGCATCTTCACAACTGTGTATGATACAAAAAATAGACAATCCCCAATCTTCTGTGTATCACAAACCTGCGTAGATGTCTTTTACGAAGTACAGTAGACGTGAAAGCTGGTTGCATTTGCTCAATCGACCTTCACCTTTTTAAATTTCTCTGTATTGCTGCCTTTGCTTATTGTGACAGAGAATGTACCAGACTTCAGGTTACTCGTTGGCATAACTTCGACTTAGCTGCTGGCCAACACGTAAATCAAGTGAAATGGGCGGCTGCCCGAGGCCCTAGACATCTGATTTGCGAGTTTGTAGCACACATAATGAAAATTTCCACCGACTGCTTCGCTGGGCTTGCATAAATTTTTTCATCTTTCAGAAAAGTCCCATAGTGACCATCGCATCTCAACCAAGATACCGACCAAGAGCGGTCACTCCTCATCTACAAAGCATCGACGGGTCGGTGAAAATGTAAGCGAGGATAGGACGGGCAATTTGAGCGACAGCCTCTCTTCCCTCTCGGACACTAGCTCGGTGCGCAAAATGGCAGGCGGGACCAAGCAACAGTCCGCGTTTATGCGGTACACTGAAAAGAAAAAGCGACGTCAACCTTCATGTTCGCCTTCCACCAAACCGTCAAAACACGTGAGCTTCCCCACTTGTACATTTACTGGTTTTCATTTTGATAAATGTATAATCTCCCAAAACTATCTCGGTAAGTGGATGTGTACTTCGCCTTTCGAATTGTGTGATTCTACGGTACTTGTTCAGAGTAAAATCGTTTTTAAGAAGTAAACTAAGGTGAACTTTTGAAACTCCCACCACAGTTAGAGGGTTACCATTTTCACCAATGGTGTTACATTTCAACTGTTTCTTTCATGTCATTATTTTCCATATACCACATAGAGCAGATTGAATGGTGATGCTCGAGTGAGGAGTCTTACTCTTTGTTCGAGCATTCACTTGATGAGGGACTCTTTGCGCAGTATTTCTGTCCATTCAAAGGATCTATGAAACGTGACAGCTCATCGAATTTGCTTTCTCATTGGATTTCGTGTTAATAACCTGTAGAAGTGTTTCAGGAAATGACCTTAAAAGGCAGTCACATTTCGCAAGAATGCGCACATAAAAGCCCACCAATCAATGACAGCATGTCTGAGCAGTTTTTTCACACCCATTGAAACTACCTACTGGGCGTGAACAAAGGTGGTGTAATATGTTCTCATTGTGGTGAGGGTTCTCATTGGCTGACCGATCGACAGACATCCTTGTATTTCTCAAGTGTTGGCATTTTCCAAGCTCTGACTTCTTCCATAATTAGCTCACTAAGTCAAATCCAGAGGAAACCTCGACCCTCAGCAAGCACACTATAACTTCCGCCTCCATGCCAAAGAAAGACACCACTACCAAGTCGAGCTCCAGAAAGCGTCAACATCACTTGAGCGATACCGAACTCTCCTCCCTCTCCAGTTTGGAGGAGGATCCTGCACTTCCTCGAAAACCCGCTAAATGCCCCCCACAACCTTCGCCGTCGTTCACCAAGAAGGCAGTGGTAGCGGCGACGACTTCTGGTTCGGCGGAAAGGCCTGTTTTTTCCCGACCGAAGTATGATCTCGCCCCCCTTCCTGGCACACCGGATATTCTGACGCAACAGGAGCAGCGTCGGAGAATGAAGGCTCTTGCTGCCAAGAAGGCCGTGGCCAAGCATCTGTTGATGGAGACAGCCAGGAAGAAGTCTCAGCCTGCTCAACCATCTCCCAGGAGCGAGAGCTTCAAAAGAGAGGTATGGTCTCATTTCTGTGGCATCTTTCTCTACATAATTTTCCCAGCCAACGCTGGTTAAGTTATTGAAAGGCCTGTGTGCGGCAGCATTTTTAATGTATGAGCGCAGGCAAGAGGGCTTAGCACAACATTGTTAATTTCTTGCCGTGTTTTAGGCATCTTCACAAAGTGAGCTATCACGTGTGCGTGAGTATTCTCTCATTCACACACACACACGCTTAACAACACGGCTGTATGCGCTCTGGTGCCTACTTTTTGTTTTCTCTCGCGCATTTTTATGCTGCTCTTCCCTCCGCCCTCTCTGGCTGATTCATACTGCCTTGTCCTTCCCCCTTCTCTCCTCCCTATTCCGCTTATTTGGTTCCTTTCGCCCCGCCACTCTCTATTTACAAATCCATCATACTTAACGGATGTTTAACAAATACCCTTAGTTGTGTTATTACATGGTCAGTCGTTGTTTAAGTTGACCTACGATTACTTGCGCTTGATGTGTGCGAGACACCCCATTAACCGACAGAAAATGGACCAGCAATTCATTTGCTGGTTGCATTTTATTGCAGAAGCAAACTGTCGTTTTTTGCACCCTCCAGACCACTTCTTCCACCCCGCCCCTCTGAGCCCATTTACCTAACCACCCTTCGCAAACCTTATTACCGCTTTAGAGCTCGCTTTTCTTTGCGTTGTCACCTCCCATCATATTCGTTTACTGTTTTAGACCTAGACCCTGACTCTTAGAAGGTAGCTGAGCACCTGTAAGTCTGGTTTGAAACTCCGCTAAATGCCCCCTTAGTACTTGTTTACCTCTATGGTTTTCTAACCAGCTATGATCTAGCATTTAGCCTACTTTTTCCCCCTTTTAGTCTAAAAGGTCTTGCCGACTGATCGACCATGATAGCGGCTCAGATGTCGAGGAGGCATCTTCGGTTTCGTCGGTATCCTCCGTCTCCACGCCCTCATCTTCCAGGAGCTCCTCTGATTTCGATTAAATGTCTGCTCCCGTCTTCCTGCACGTTGTTTCCCAGTCCTCCTATCGTCTCATCTTTTTTAAAAGAAATAAGAGAAAAATATGGACAGCAAAGCTCCACCAGCATTTCGTGATGTTTGTACAATTAGCCAACCACCTGACCCCTTGTTTCCTCCTTATTCCTATTTTATACGTTATTTTCTCTTCACACACTCACCATCGGTCTTCCCTTTCATCGCCATCATCATCTCGCACGCACCACTTCGCGCGCGTTTTCTCTGTCCCCCCCCTACGGTTCTTTTTTTTTGTTTTCCCTCCCTCCTTTCCTATATTCGGGTCTCTCTCTCTCTCCCGTCGCCTCCCCTCCCGCCCCCCTCTCGACACGCACTCTCTCGCCTCAATTTCTAGCATTCTCCTCCTGCGTTCATTCGGGATGCGTGTCAACCCCTACCACACCAACGATATTTTGATAGTTTTATTGATCGTGTATCCATAAGATTCGCTCTATATCTCTATCTCTATACATGTTTGAACTGTAAGCTTCCGCCCTAGCTTACCAGTCGTGTTTATTCTCTTCTTCAATTGCTGCCTGTCTGGGCTATGGACCCATCGGCAGGAAAGATTAACTTTCAAACGTTTATCAGCGGCTTTGTTTTGAGCTGAGGGAAGAACTGTGATTGAGAAAAGATTGGGAACGGCCTCCTTCTCCTCCTCCTTAGGTCCAAGGAATAGTTTCTTTTCGTCGAATTGGTGTATAACCGAGCTTCATTTATCCATCAAGCTTGGTTGCATTTAGCTAGATTGTTTTCTACCAGAGGTAAGCATTCGCCTTCAAAACAGCGTTGACCTCGCCTAGAGTAAGATGCGCAAGCTGCGTACGACAAAGGTGAACCGACTTCGATGTGGCCGCACCGTCACCAAGGTCGCGACGGCACTAAGGCTTGGTGTGACTTCACGGTAGGATGCGTTTTAAGCGCATGAAACCACTCCCTCGACCTCAGATTCTTCTCTCTCGACATTCCCGTGGCCTCCCTGGGAGGTGAACGACATAGCGTCATTTGCATGTGATCCAGCTTGCGAATATCGCACTACTGAAGACTAAACACTTTCAAAAACTGGGCATAACATTTCTGCCAAACCACCGGCAGAGTAAAAGGCTAAAAGTTCAAATGCAAGACATGAGTTTATCAAAAAGGAAACAAACAAAGCTAGAATGTTCGAACAAGATAATCAAGCACAAATACGTAGACATCAAAGTACGTTGTCACCATCACGATTCGCCCTGGGAGGGCATTTCCTCGGTAGCCTGGCTGCGTTGTTTTTGCTGCAAAAAATTTACCGTTTTTGGACTGACCTGCGAGGTCACTCGCCGCGGACCCAAATGATTGCGCAGAATGGATTGGCAGGATCCAAACGAAATGGGAACCTGCTCGATAATGTTCCTAATAGTTATGCGACTGTTGTTGATCACCAAGTCCCTGACCTGAGCCACATGTCGCTCATCGGTAGAGGTAGACGGTCGGCCGGAGCGAGGCTCATCCTCCACTCGCTCCCGTCCCGCCTTGAACATCTTATATCAATGGAAAACCCGTGTCTTGGAGAGGGCGTGATCTCCAAAGGCTTTCTGAATGATTTCCAGGGTTTTTGTGGCGGTGTAGCCGTTGTGAGCAAAGTACTTGATGCACGTCCGCTGAGCAATCACATTGGAACTGGAATGCCCTGAAATGCCAAAATTCGGTAGTTCCCTTTCTGGTGAAACTACGTCTGATTTCTCCACGGCCTGGCCATCCGTCCCCCTTGTGGCTGTAAATAGTAACAAAAGTACAAATGACCATATGATTGATGTAAGAACATTTAATAACCGGAATACCTTGCACCAAGATGACACAGTGAAGCCTAGGCAGTAAATTAAAATCCACATAAGTCAGCATCTTCAGATACATGAATCGACCGAATTCAGAACTGAACTCCTTAAAAAACTACAATTTTTTGGTCTGAAACGTCACATCGCCAACCGTTTCAGAGTGGAAGATAACAACCAACAGAAGCATGGACGATGATAAGTGCTTCGAGAAGCACATAAACAGCGATTAGTAGCAAAACACAAATTCTCATGTGAACAAAGTTAAAAGCACTACTGGAATTATCCCCAGATTCTGCTTTCGACTTTGGGCAAGCTTTTGCTGTTAATCCACCCTTATCAACTGACTCCACAACACTTTATGGAAATGCCGTAGCGGATTTCATGGCTTCTAAGCAAACCATTATCGAGTAAATTAACACAACCATTACGTTTCCGCCTTTTCTCGACTGGTTCTTCATCCTCACACGTGTCCTTTCGTCTAGAGACCCCTTCGGCCTCCCCAACCTTCATTTCCAAACCTTTCAACACAAACTTTATTTTAACAAGTACCTTTAGAGCAATACATGGACTTTGACGCCTCGGAATGAGACTATAGGTTTTACTAGAACTGCGGCCCGGTGTTATGTTTGTAGGAACCTAAGGGCACTGAAACGAAGGTGATCAAAAATGATGGAAAAAATAATGGAGGCAATCGACATGCAAAAAGTAGTAATACAGAAAGCACTAACCTCACAATCACCCTGACGTGCGGGAGGGTTATTTCGAGAAGTAAGATTGATTTAAACATCCCTATCTATCGTGGTAGACAGCTTAAGAAGAAGAGGATTAAGGAAACCTGATGGGCAGAAACCGATTGTCAGCATTTGACAATATCAAGAGGCCCTCTAATGGCTTTTAACGTTGCTCATTGTAGCACTGACTCGTGATTTTACGTCGAGCTTTGCGATCCGGCAAATTTGAGGGATTTTCGTTAACAACTTGCCGCAGAAACCTTTCTTTTACTGTTAATTACATGCGTCAAGAGAATGGTAATTTCTCTTGCCTTTAAATTATATACAGACACATTGCCTGAACCTTCCGAATGTGCAAATCAATCTCCTGAAAGCAAAACTAGACGCTAGCAAGACATTACTCTGACCCCAAATGTTCTATTTCGCCCTGTATAGATGGTTCGTAAATGCTAAGTCTATATTTGTGAAAGTACTCTTAATGTAACAGTTGGGAATTTTAACACAGAAATGTACTTATTTGTAGCGTCCCGAGACTCCCTTAAGACGAAAGAAGACACAATACTCGGGCAGAATATATATATATTCAGCTCGGAGAAGGTGTCCGGGCTATTGGCATGGCCCA